CTTTCTCGTTCTCCTGCCCGTTGCTCTCTTCAAATTAACGGAGAGGCAGTGGAGCAGGTGGAGAAGTTCATATCCCTCGGAACTATATTTACTAATGATGGAAAATTGGAGGAAGAGATCGACCAGCGAATTGGAGTAGCCAGTGGCGTTCTTCATGAACTAGCCCGACCCATCATGACTAAAGCAGAGCTCAAGTATACCTAAACTTTCGGTATTCAAGTCGATCTTCATCCCCATGCTTACCTACGCTCACGAATCGTGGAGCATCACGAAAATTTCGATCCCAGGTACAAGCGCCTGGGCTTTCTGAAACGAGTCGCTGGCTTTACGCGTGTCGACATGGTCCGAAATACAGACATCCGGGAGAGCCTTGGTGTACAGCCGCTGCTTCTTCAGACTGAGAAATCAGCCTCGACGGTTTGGGTATACTTTGTGACTCTAGCAGAAAGGAAGGCGAAGCGGTTATTTCTTGCGCAGTGACCGGCAGTAGGCCCATGGGACGGCCAAGAATATCCTTGTTCAATTATACGGAAGGAATCTGTTCCAGATTCCAGTTTTCTTCTGCCGAAGCTCAGACTCTGTTAGGATCGGGAGTGTTACAACCACTGTCTGACGCGTCTGCCTCCATGTCCCAAAACGAGAACCGGTCATGGAAGATGAAGATGACATATATTGGCGGTAGGAGTAGAAACAGTGTTTTTTTGGACCTCCAGAGAAATTCGGTTTTGCATCTATGCACTGCAGGCGACAAACACCACGAAGCCCTGGTGTGCCTTTCTGTCCTATAGGCTACAAAAAACAAGGATACAGTGAGATTACGGCGTGTAAGTTCGGCGAATTGATAGGCGATATATGAGTTAACTTAGCTTGAATTACGAACATTTGAAGAAAATAACAAGTTTTAGGAAGCGCTAATTTTTCATCGATGTTACTAGCAAACTTTTCGTCCTGGCTAGTTCTTTCGACGCAGTGTAAGTCCAGTAGTTCAAAAAGAACAATGTACAGGAAGTGTCTATAAGTGAGCAGCAGTAATGACATCAGGACCCTTTCGGCTTGGTCCAGAGATAGCGTCATGTGCTAAGACATCCCCAGGTCGTGCTTTGTCATTGAAGCAAAAAAGTAAAGAATAAAAATAAAGTAAACAACAGGAAC